CAGGGAGAGGAGTGCCAGTCCCAATTTGCCCACAGGGAGCCCAAGCTGGGTCTATGTCTCTTAGCCTCAGGGTCTGCACCATTCTCCTGGGATCACCATGCCACCTGGGAGGGCTGGCAGGTAGGGAGCTCACAGTCTGTGTTCCCCTTAGTCCGCTGTGGGTTCCCAAAAGGGAAGGTCCTGTTCCCTGGAGATGCCTGTGGCTGGTGGCTATATTTTCTCTTGGGCTGTCATGGTAATGTTGGCAGAGGGGAGAAGGAGGCAATATGGCGCCTGCCGTGTGGCCTGGGTTTGTGCACACGGAGGTGTCCCGCGGGATTTGGAGCTTGGTGCTGCATCTGGTACAGGCTTACAGTTCGCTGGGGGCGGCCATCTCTGGGTTGGTGTCCACAGGTCTCTCCACCCGCTGGGGAGCCCACCAGCAGTCCCAGATGCAGGGGAGGGGAAAGGTGACTGATCCACCTATCCTTTCCGCTGGTCTCTGGGTTGCTCCGGCTGTCTTAGCTTCCAGTTCTCCTCCGCAACCTCCTCCCATGGAGTCTCCCGTGGTCTCAGGTACCCCTCCTTCCGGCCCTTGTCTGCTGTATGCTCGTCGTCTTGCTTCTTTTTTTCTAATTTCTGCTAGAATCTATCTTTTCTGCAGAGACACTCTGTCTGGCGGTGTTTCTCGTCCGCCATCTTGATCCCAGGAAAACAGATTTTTAAAATGGCAGAAGAGATACCAGATGCTTATATAACCCATCTAGTCTTTGGGTAATAACATTGAACAATCCAGAAAAAATCTAGATAATTGACTGGAAACCATTAGTACAATGGAGATATTATATAGCAATAAAAAACAACAGACTATGGACATATGCAATAACATGGATTCTCTGATGAGAAGGAGGAATAGCAGCGGAACTGTGTTCTGTTCACATCATTTCCTGGGGCTTGGGACGTATCTCTTAAGGGAACAAAAAAAGGACAGATGACCTTGTCTAATCAGGTTAACTGGACCTCCACAAATACAGAATAAATAATATTTGTATTAGATATTTATATATTTTATATCCTTTAAACCAAACATCTAAATGAATAGTTTCTCTCTGATCCTTTCTAACATTCTATTCCAGAAGTTTATCCTATTAATAATAAAAATAATTTATTTATATGTACAATATTTTTTATTGTCATGATAGAAATATAAGTTGAGTTGACATGTAGCAGCCACCCCAGGCCCAGTAATCTCCTTGAGCTCACATCAAGATTAAAAAAGAATCATGCAGCCTCACTGCATTATATGGATTTGTGCTGTCAGTTCCATTTAAATTTCAAAAATATTTCACAAATACTTGGGTCTTTTGTGTGTAAGCCACTATTTACACACTTTGAAAGACATAAAGAGCAGTAAGCCTTTAAATGGTAATCTAGAAGATCCTTTGGGCCAAAAATAAGTATTATGCAGGGCCAATTTTGGCATAAGAAGAATAAATAAACTGCTGCACATTTCAAATAAGTTAGTGCAATCAGGAAATGCATCATGGAAGCAGGAACATTTGGCATCTTGAAGAAAGAATGCCATTTCACTTGTAGATGAGAATCAGTGTAGTTAGGAGAGGGAGGTTTTCCTGTAGAGAGACCTCTATGAGAAAAAGCATGTATCTGAGAGACTAAGGTGTGTTCAGAAGTCTCTCAGTGACTCATTTCAGCTGCAACACAGGTTCCATTGGCACAATTGTAGAGGAGGAGACTCCAGAGTTAAGACTCCAACCAAGCTTTGATTGGAAAGGAATTCAAGTGGCAGGGTGAACAAATGCAGGGTGACAAAGATATATAGAATCAGCCCTCCATATTTCTGGGTTCTGCATTTGTGAACTCAACAATTGTGGATTGAAAATATTTAAGAAAAATTTGCATGTGTGTTGACTAGATACAGACTTTTTATGTCTGTATTATTCCATAACAGTATAGTGTAACAGTATAGTATTCCATTATTCCATAAACAGTATAGTGTAACAACTATTTACATGGTATTTACAGTGTATTTGGTATAATAACTAATCTAGGTGTGATTTGAACTATATGAGAGGACGTGCATAGGTTAAATGCAAATACTATTCCATTTTATATTAGGGACTTGAGCATCTATGAGTTTTGGTATCCAAGGGAAGTCTTGAAACCAATCCCCTCGGGATACTGAAGAATGAATGACATATATACACACACATTAATTTATATTTATACTTACATATTTATATGTATATCATAAAATCTGTACTTATACATGAACAAATAACCACATGCATAGATATATACAGTCATGAGTTGCTTAACTATGGGGATATATTCTGAGAAATGTGTCATTAGGTGATTTTCTCATTGTGTGACCATCGTAAAGTGTGCTTACACAAACTTGATGGCATATCCTAATATACTCAGGCTATATAATATAATCTATTGCTCCTAGGCTAAAAACCTGTACAGCATGTTACTGTCCTGAATACTGTGGCAATTGAAACACAATGGTAAGTATCTGTATATCTAAACATACCTTAACAAAGAAAAGGTAGAGTAAAAATATTATATTATATAAAAGATAAAAATGGTATACTTGTATAAGGCACTTATGATGAATGACACTTGTAGGTCTGGAAGTTGCTCTGGGCGAGTCAGTAAGTGAGTGGTGAGTGCATGTCAAAGAGTAGGACATTTCTGTACACTACTGTAGACTTTATAAATACTGCACACTTAGGATATACTAAATTTACGAAAACTTTCTCTTTCTTCAATACTAAGTTAACCTTAGCTTACTGAAACTTTTTTACTTTATAAACTTTAAAATTTTTTTACACTTTTTGACTCTTTTGTAATAACTAGCTTAAATTAGAAACACATTGTAGATTTGTACAAAAATATTTCTTTATATTCTATAGGCTTTTTCTATTATTTTTTTTTTTACTTTTTAAAAGTTTTTGTTAATAACTAAGACATATACATTAGCCTAGGCCTACACAGAATTAGGATCATAAATATAATTGTCTTTCACTTCCTCCTTTAAATATCACTGATTTCTTTATCTTGCTAGTTTCTTTTTTTTTTTTAATTTTGGGAAGATTGAGACCATTTTTTTCCCCTTTTATTCAGAGGTAATAACACACATGGAGTTTTCATCTCCTATAATAAAGATGCCTTCTTCTGGAATACTTCCTGAAGGCCCTGCCTGAGGCTGTTTTACAGTTAAGAACTGTAATTTAAGTTACAGTTAAGAAATTATAAGTAGAAGTATACTCTAAAATAAGGATAAAAAATATAGGATAGTAATAACATAGTCATTTATTTTTATTATCAGTTATCATGTGCTCTATATAATTGTTTGTGCTATACATTTATATGACTGGCAATGTAGTATGTTTATATACAGCAACATCAGCACAAACACGTAAGTAATACACTGTGTTGTGACATTATAACAGCTACGAGGTCACTAGATGATAAGAATATTTCAACTCCATTATAATCTTATGTGGCCACCATCTCACATGTGGTCCAATGTTGACCAAAATATCACTATGTAGTACATGACTGTATTCAGATCTAGGTGCATATAATTTACATGTATATAATCTGGTAGCAATGACAATCAATTAAAAGGTATTGAGGAGGGATATGATTTAAACAGAGTCCTATTTATGAAGTGTCATCTGACAGCAGTGTTTGGAAGGTAAGAGAGTAACAACTAGATGGAAAAGATAAATGACTTGAGTTTTGCAAAACACACAGATCAGTAGCATTTAGGGTGAGGGCCTAAGTGGTATTAGCAGAAATTTATGTAATTTCAAGTGTTGAGAGTAGAAAGGCCAGAGTGACCTGAAGATGGATTACTTGCTATATTGAAAGAGAATCAAGTCTGAGAAAAGCTAACAATCGAGGGTGTTTCAAGGAACAAAACATCCAAACTCTGCTCATTTTCATGTCTTTTCCAGCACACATTATGCATTATGACATCATGTGATCATAACATCTATACTTTTATAATATGAACTTAAAGCCCTCATTGTCCAAGACACATTCCAAAAACCTTTAAGTATCACTGATTTCTTTATCTTACTAGTTTATTTTTTAAAAAAATTCTGGGAAGATTGAGACTATTTTCTTGCTATTCTTCAATATCTCTCTCTTCTCTACACCTGCCCCAGCTTAATTCTTTAATCTAATCTGTTGGTTTCTGTATTAGTGAAGTTTTTCAGATTGCCAAAGAAACATGCAAATATAGCTAGAAAGATCCTTAGAAGGCATCACAGACAAGGAGAGGCAACTGGCCTCTCCTTACTTATGGAAGTACAGTGAACTAAGAGCATCCTGTCATAGCTTATTCCTGCCTTCACTCCTCTAATTTCCTTCTCACTTATTTCTCATTCCGATTTCTATTTATTTCTCTGTATGATATGTGAATTGAATCTCTATGAGAAGAGAAATGAACCATTTTCCAATAAAGTAAAATAAAAGACGTTTTGATGGCTAGCTGAATTCATGAGATTTGCTTGTGTTCAATCAAACACAAACCTGTCATCTCTATGGAGTAAATGTGATATGAATCTCTAATCTACACACCTGTGAATGGGGTGGGGAACCTGCAGCCTTAGGGTCACGTGTGCCTTCTGGATCCTTGAGTGTGGCCCTTTGATTGAATCTAAATTTTACAGAAGAAATCCTTTTAATATAAGGGGACCTGGAGGGCCGCATGTGGCCTTAAGGCCGCAGGTTTCCCACCCCTACAATGTTTTTATTTGTTTTCTGTGGTAATTATTCTAGTATGCCATCAACGCTTGGCTAAATGTCCTTGTATGCTTTTGAATAACATATATAAATCTTTTAAGGAGATCATTATGTACTAACTCCTTATTAAATAGTTAGGACAATTGTGATTGTAAAATCTTTCCTGCACCAATACATACGCACATCTAACCTGCATGGTTTTGTGACCTTTAACAAAAAGAGAATACATGCTAATATGAGATCTAAACATTTACTTTTAATGTTTTTGTCAGTGAATCTATGACTTTCTTATTTCTCAGACTGTAGATAATTGGATTTAACAAGGGAATGATGACAGTGTAAAAAAGAGACTCTATCATATCTTCATCACTTGCTAGTGGAGATGCAGGGCGCACATACATGAAGAGGAGAGGGCCATAGTATAAAGACACAGATAAGAGGTGAGCTCCACAGGTGGAGAAGGCTTTCCTTATGCCTTTGGCAGACTTCTTTTTTAAGATTGTAAAGAGAACAAATGTATAAGAGATAAGAACAGTCACAATGGTGAATACCTGTATTGAACCAGACAAAATAAAAAGCATTAGGAAATTAACAGAAGGATCAGTACAAGAAATTTTTAACAATGGTATAATGTCACAGTAAAAGTGATGTATTATGTTAGAATTATGGAAAGTTAATCTGAATAAAAATGCATCATGAATTAAAGCATGAAGAAAACCACCTACAAATGACAAGACTATTAGCCGGATGCAAAGTGCATTCGTCATAATCACTGGATAGAGTAAAGGTTTGCATATGGCTACATAGCGATCATACGCCATTGCTGCCAAGAGAAAACATTCTGTGGTTGCACTGATTCCAAAGGAAAAAAATTGTACCATGCATTCAGAGAGAGACATCATCTGACTCTTGGTTAAGAAGCTGACCAGCATGTTGGGGGTCACTGTGGATGATAACCCAGCATCCGCAAAGGCTAAACTTCCAAGGAATAAGTACATGGGGATGTGAAGGTGAGGGTCATTCCAGATGAGGGCAATCAAACCAAGGTTCCCCATGATGGTGATGAGATAAATCACCAAGAATATCAGGAACAGGGGGATTTTCCACTCTGATTGATATGTAAGTCCTGTGAGAATGAATTCTGTCAGCAATGTCGCATTTTCCTTCTCCATGTCCTCAGTGCACATGGCTGAAATGAAATAAATGTGAAAGGAACATTCACTAAGGAATTATAAAGGGAATACCAGAGGAGGGGAGTTGAGATAAAACCACACACTTATCAGAATGACCTCTTTTTCATTCATTTATTACACTATAATAGAGTAGTTGAAGGGTCCTTGAAGGAATTGAAAAATGCAATCGTTTCAGTCCATAGAATATGCATAAATAAACAGATTTAGAAAAAAGAATTGTCTGAGGAGTTTTTCTTTTAGAAGAAGCTTTCTTTTAGCTTTTTCTTTTAGAAAAAGAATTGTCTGAGTAGCTTTCTTGCCAAAATATATGAGGAATTAGTGTAGAAATAGATTCCATGGTTCAAAAATAAAGTATAGGAATATGCATTTTTAAAATGCTATTCAGGTGTTTCAAATGATGTGAAGTACCTAGTGATGTGTGATAAGACATTGGGAGTGATGAGTAGGACAAAGGAATAAATCCAAAATAATTCAGAATGCAGAGTCAGCAGGACTGCATGACATATTAGGTGTGAAGAGGATGGTCAGTGAAAGAGCGAGCCACTTGGTGATTCAAAATTAGGTTGAGAACAGATTCACAGGCAGATATATGGAATGAGCATCCTCTGACCATCCAAGTCAGAAGTACCTAGGAGTATGACTCTACTAGAGATTAATAAAATATAATAATGACATGAGTCACTGGCTGAAGACATAGTTGAAGACATAGTTATGGATGTCGTATGCATTGGAGACTTGAGCCAAAGGTAAAAAAGGAACAGATAGGAAAAAAGTCATATTAATCAAGTGATAAAGTTGATATATGCCATTTATTAGATAGCAAAACCCTAGTCCCCTTTTCTATCACATGAATCTTGGTGGCCACAGAGAACACTACCCACTCTAGAGCTCTTCCATCCATCTTGCACCTAGGGTGAAGAGACTTGATCTAGGTTTGGCCAGGAAAATCCACCTCTACAGATTTGGAATTTGGAGAGTGGGAAACAATGGAACAGGGGGCAAGAAGAATTTTGGATGCAAAGGCAGCAAACATCAATATGACTCGGGTGGGGCAAGAGCCATATACGTAACTTGAACATTTGTACACCCATATTATGCTGAAATTAAAAGAAAGACTCCAGCAGATGCATCCAATACACATCAACGAAACTGACAGTGTGACACTATATAGTGTGAATTGTGTCACTGGAAAGTTTAACAGCAGTAACAGCAGCTTTCATTGAGCTAGTGTTGGGACATGATTTTGGCTATTGACTGTCTGCCTTCCTTCCTTCTGTTCTTGCCCACTTTTACAGTAGATTCCTCCTACTTACCTGGTGTTTTTATGTTAGAGCCATTATCCATTGAATAAATTCACCTCCTATTGCAACCAAGAATCCTGGCTCAAACAAAAGACAGACAAGGGAGAGACCAGAAAAACATACCGAGCAGAATGATTACTGAAGCAAGAGGAAAACTGGGAAGTGGAGTGTCATAGGTACAAGGAAAGGAACAATACTCAAAGAGGACAAATTGAAGTATCGGCCCAAATGTGAAAATAAATGCTCCAGCTGGACACATGAACAGAGATCACTAAGGGTGAAAATACGATTTTTAGTGGCTTTAGTGAGAGCAGTTTCCATTTGTGATAGAATAAAGGTCAGAGAATAACAAGTAATGAATGGGAAATAGGTGGCATGATGGTGAGGGGTGTGAAGTAGAACATTTCAAGTAATATGGAGGGAAGTTTGCATTTGCCTTCTGTTCATAGACTAATATAAAACATTTTTCTGTAAGACTTCTTCATATTTAATAACAAGTTTCAAAAGTAAGGAGAAGAAAGGAAGGCAGGGAGAGGAGAAAGTGGACAGGAGAACTGAAAAGGAAAATCTGGTGGTGAAAAGAAAGCAAAAGAAACAGAAATAGGCAGAGAACAAAAAAGACATATGGAGAAGTATAGGAAAAACAAGCCAAAGAAGAGAGAGAGAGAGAGACAGAGACAGAGACAGAGACAGAGACAGAGAGAGACAGAGAGGAAGTATCAGAGAAAGCCTGAGGAAGAATTAAAAGGAAAGGTTCAGGAGCTTGGGGGTAAATATAAATCTTAACCCTGGAGTTCATTAAATGATGTAAATTCTGGAATATTTTCTTTACTATTACTCGAAATTAAATTTTAGTTTCCTATGAAATTTTTATATGAAAATGAGATCTTATTTGGAAATTTACTTAAAAACTTTGTGTTGTTCATGACTATACTGGCACTGTCTGAAAGTCTTTCCATATTAAAAGTTACTTTATCTTTTTTATTATAGTCAATAGAAGTGACTTACTCTAGGAATTCTTCTGGATTTACTTGACAGCAAATTCTTATCCAGAAATTTTTTTGGCAGAATAAAATTGAGCCAGGAATCCAACCAAAAACAGGCTATATCAATGGCCAACTCTAATAATTCTAGATGTATAGAATTTGGAATGGACTTTCTTTCATGAAATCTCAAATAAGAACAAATTGAAATAGTTGAAAATGTCAAGTTCTGTTTGTGTATGGGTATCTTTTAAATATATACTAAATTATTTTCAAAAGTTAGTGAAAGGATATGTGAGCTAAGTATTTAAGTAATACTTTAAAAGTTTTAATAAGAATACATATTTAATTAAATAGAATGGGTCTTTTTATTAGAATCAACAAAAACATATATAATAATCATTGCAATTGAATCTTTAAGTTTTAAATTAGTGTCCCGGTTCACCAAAACTTACCTTATAAGGTCAATAACAGGGTAATAAAATTGCCCTGGGTAATAACATTAAGAGGGTAATAATTTAACAGAGTAATAAAACATTGTTAAAGGGAAATAATTAGTATTATAGCTAATATGCTTGTCTAGACTTTAACTGTAAAAATAAAGAATACAGATAATTCACTAATAATTTTCATTTTCACCCATTTCTTTTGACTTCTTATAAACTCAATCTTAAAATATTATAAATTAAATAAAATTTAAGTTGGTATATAAAGAATAATAAATATTAAAGAAATCATTTCCCTCTTACTCATACCTTGACTGAAATTGTAGAAATCCTTTAACAGTGTTAGGCTTTCTAAAGTAGAAATAAATATAATTATAGCACAGAAATGACAAAAACATAGGTAGCAATTCTTGGCACACTGATTCATTTCAGAGGCTTCATATCCCAAGCTAAGGAAATGTGTATATAATTTTCCTTGAAAACAAGAGTCAACCAATTGTACAACTGTGTGCTTTTGCTCAAACAGGAAAAAGTGGGAAACTGAAATTGCCCCAAAAGAGCAAGAGGATTCTATTCAGGACAAAGTTTGAGGCCCTGCTGGGCATTATACGATTGAACCTACACAAGAAGTTCAAATTATCCCACAGGGCATTATAGCCTTTGCAATCATAAACCCCAAGTCACCATAGAGAGTCCTAGTTTTAACCACTGAAATCATACTTTATGCCAATGTTTTCCACCACAGACAACAATTCTGACATGTTTATGAAAAATGCAGTTTATACATATACAAAATGTATTGCTTTGAGTGCTTTGATTGGTGTGGTCTCATCCGAGCTAATCAAAACATGACTTTAATGAAATGAAAGATCTAGATTGTCTTTAGAAGGAAACTCCAAGTTGCCCTCCCCATGCAAACTATACCTCAAACTCTAGACATATACCCAGCCCCAATGTTAAGCTGAAATCTTTCTAAGCAAAGCTCAGAGGGAGGAGCAAAGGAAATAAAAGGCAAAAGACATCTGTGGGGAAGTGGCCTAGATCTGTCCTTCTGAAACTTCAATGTCTAGAAAGGACTTGGAGACCTTGTTAAGATACAGGTCCTATTTCAGTAGTTCTAGGATAGCGCACTGATAGTATAAGCTGTGTCATTGGAAGTTCAGTAGCAGTAATAGTTGACCTCATGAAGCCAGTGTTGGGACAGGATTGTGGCTTTTAACTGGCTGCCTTTCTTCCTTCTGTTCCTTCCATTCTTTTCCAGCTGATTCCTCCAACTTTCCTAGAATTTCTATGTTAGAGCCAATTTCCATTCAATAAATTCATTTCCTGTTGCAATCCAAAAACCTGGATGTCCAAAGAGAGACAAGAGAGAGAGAAGAAAAGGATACTGAGAAGAGTGATCAAGGGAAGAAGCAGGAGGGAAACTAGAAAGCTGAGTGTTATGGACATAAAGAAAGGAAAGATATTGAGAATGACAGAAAAGTACATTTCCAAATGCCACAATAAATGCTCTTCACAGACTATGGAGATGGATTTCTAGTGGCTTTAGTAAGATCAATTTCCCTTATGCAACAGAATTAAAGTGGGATAATAATGAGAGGTGAATGGGAAATGTGACCCAACAGTGAGATGATACAAAGATACAGAATGATACAAAGTACTCTGAAATATGGAAAGCAGTGGGCATTGATCTGCTACTCATAGACTAGTAATTTTTTTCACCTGTAGAAAATTTTAAGAAAAGTTTTCAAAAGAAAGTAGTGACAAGTGAGAAGAAAGGAGAGGAACACATCCAGAGGAAAAAAGGGACAGAAAAAGTAGAAAGTAAAATTTATGTGTGTGAAAATAAAACAAGAGAGAGGAAGAAAATAGACAGAAAATAAGACAATTATAGATAAATTCAGAAAAGACAAGGCAAAAAAAAGAGAGAGGAAATATCAAAGATGGTTATAGGCAAAATAAAGGGAAAGATTCAGAGGTTTGGGTTGAATGTTTGCATTAATTCTGGTGTTCATGAATAGTTATTTCTAAGACTCTTTTCATTTTCATTTCTGAAAATTCAAGTTTATTTTCCTATGGAATTTGTGTACAATAAAGAGTCTTTGACTTGAAATTTTACTTTATAAATTTTCCATTGTTCATGAATACATTGTCACTACCTGAAAGATTATTCCATAATTAAATTATGCTTTATTTTTCTTATTCAGCAGTTAGAACTAAATTTATCTAGAAGGCTTTCTGACTTTATTTGAGAGCATCTTATT